TGCTGGCATTTCTTAGTACAATTATTCATTGTGCATGGTTAGTCACAACCAGGCTTTCGACAGGGCACACTAGATACTTTTCGGAGATGCACTGAGGGGGGTAGGAATATGCCATATGTTACATTTGTGTCATGGGAGCCATGTGCATAACTTGAGAAGCACCAGCCATATGGGAGGAGCTCAGTTTTACCTCACATCATTTTTTAACCTTCTAGGTCACACCCACAATGTACATTTAAAGCACTATTGTACCACTTTAACAGTCATGGAGAATCCTGCGAACTGTAGTTCATTAATGGTCCTGACTTCACAGAACTACAGTTTATAGCACCCTAGGAGCCACCAACTGTTAGGGGTAGAGGAACTGTAGTCAGAAGAGGAGGGCACATCCTGTTCACCCAGGACCCACTGGTGCTCCCAAAGCTAGCAACTGATATGTCCCGCCCGAAACAGTGAACATCTACATGTTTAACAGTTCTGCAAGACATGAGAGTGTAATGAGTAATCTTGCCTTGCTCCATCTTTAGAAGCTTGGTGAGTGGATGTGCCAACCTGTTGAGAGAGCTCCATTGCTTCTGTGCAGTTTTAAGCACCTTGTCCTGATCTTGGACTACACTTTCATCACTGCCTCTAGCCTAGCTGTGACTTGATACCCATGGCTGAACTTGTATCTCTTCTCTGTCTCAATAAAGATCTATTCCTTACTCACAAGTAAAAGCGTCTGTTGTGGTGGTCTGGGCTGGAGCCACGGCAAGCTTCAACCTTGAAATGTGTTGTAAAGTTACAAAATGGGTTAAAAAGCATTCCAAACTTTGGATAATAGGGTATAATCCTAAAGCATTTTAGGTGCAAACTATTCAAGTTCCGGTCAGTAGCTTCCAAATTCAGGACATTACTCTTTCCTCAAAGGGACAGTTTTTAATTCAGATGCTCCTGACCATGTTGAGATTCAGGTTACACTATCACTGCAGCTATCCTAAAGTTACAAAAGCAAGGGAAAAAATCATCACCTTAAGAGCTGGCCTGGTTCACTTTTCCTTCACATTAGAAGGAAACTGAGCTAATGATGTGGTCTAATGAGTGGTTTATGCCTTCTGACAAACCAAATGAGGTTTGTCAGCATAGGCTCTAGGCAGCATGGAACTGCTGCAATTTTACATCTCATTGATTACTAGAATGAGGATTGCAAAAACATTCATAGAGCATCAAATATCCTTCACAGACCACAGAAATTCAAGCTTCGCAGAGAAGAAATAAAATGAAGCAACTGGGTAGCACATTGTTTTCTATGTGTATATTGTGGCAAACTGACCTCTATATAAGGTAATAATAAAACAATAAGGTAAACAACTACAGAGGCTGAAATTCCATGCGTTACATACAGAATTCCACGGGTTCTGGACTGGGTTACATGTTAACAGGCAGTTCAGGCACCAATGATACGCTTGCTTTTCATGAAAAGCACTAGAGTGTTTATTGCACAGTCACAGAGAATGTGCACTACACCAGCAATAAGAGTATATAACAGACAAGTAACATTAAAGAGGGGTCTACAAAATTAATACTATGATTCTAAGACTTCCATGGTATTCCTGCTATATAAATAGCAATTAGTCTTAATTATAATAAAGCAAAATTAACACCCAGGAGTTGATTTTTGGGTGAACGGACTATGAGATCAATTCAGTTTTTGCATTGTAAGCCAAATCATATGCTCAGAGTGTTCTCAGAGGCATTCCGTTCTTTAATCCTAACTATGGCTTTTGCACCTGGCTCTAGTTGGTAGATATTGAGGTTTTAGCAAAAAAAGAAAGTAGATCTGTCAAGCCTGAAGTCTGCCCAAACCTGTCATAAAGTATGCCTCTGAATAAAAATATAAGAACATAGAACTAGCCTGCAGGATTAGGCCCATGGCCCATCTATCACAGAGGCCAACCAAATGTCTGTAGGAAGCCTGCAAGATGGACCTGTTCTGAACACAGTGACACTTGGCCCACCTGTGATATCCAGAAGATAATTCTTTTAATGGTTATCTCCAGTGTTTTTTTTCTGGGGGTATGCAGGGGTATGCATACCCCTAAACATTTTGTGAATCTTTGTACTTATGTCCATTTGCTGTATTTATTTTTCCCAATTTGAACTATAAAATGGTGATTTTTCTTGAGTCAAAATGAGAGTACCCCTAAACATTTTTTAAGGAAAAAAAGCACTGGTTATCTCAATTATTTACCTGTTAAAAAGTAAACTAACTAAGGCTGCAATCCTATAACAACTTGCCAGGGAGTAAGTCCCATTTGACTCAATTCATGCATATGGTTGCTGAGCCACCTGAAATGAAAATTTCTCTTCTGCCACAACATTGCAATAATGCATTTTGTTATTGACCACATCAACTGATATACACAGAAAGCTTCTGTTGAGTTAGGTAGGAGCTGATTTGTAGATTCATCAAGGGTGTGTGTGCAAAACAACAATGGAATCCAGCCATACACTGGAGGAGAGAACAGAAAACACAGCTACAAGTACTCACAAGACTACCACCATCATAGAAAAAAACCTATATGATACAAGGCTGACAAAGACCAACCTCCCACAATCCAGACCGCCATATACAAAAACTAAAACCATTTAACTCAATCAGATGATCTCAGAGACAGACCATTGGTTGTCATTTGTACAACCTATTTATATAACACATGAATTCAGCATTAGAAGATACTCTAGAAAACTATTTTACAGATGGAAAATACTGGGGGGGCTAAGAAGGTCTTGGTCTAGAAAGGCAATCCATCTATAACAGAGAACTCAAAACCTTGCAAAGCAGAAGTAAATGAGCCAAGTCCTCAGATCAAGGAGAAGCTCTATGCTGGAGACCACTCAAAACAAAGATCAAATCACTCAAATAAGCATGCCAATTTAATTACTTCTTAGAGGTAATAATTCTAAGCCTTGCATAGTAGCCCAGACACCAAATGCCAATAACATATGTTATTATCAGGGAGCAGTTGACTATATGAGCGTCATGACAATTGCTGGAAACTGCAGGAGGAAAGAATGCTCTTGTGCTCAGATCTTGCAAGTGGGTTTCTCACAGGCATTTGTTCAGCCACTGTGAGAACAGGATGACTGGATGGGCCATTGGCCTGATCCAGCAGGCTCTTCTTATGTTCACATTTGGCTAGAACTGGGCCATATCAGAGAGGCAATAAACAAAGGTAGTCATCGTAGGTGTGGTAACCTCTCACATGGAGAAGGTCTTTAGCTTCTTTGCAAATGTAAGTAAATCCCAGGGAAGGGTGCTGATCTAAATTAAAACCTCCAGCAAAAATAGCAACATCCTTTCATTAAGAAGCCTGAGATTGAGCAACATATTTTTAGAGGGAAAAGAAACAGAAAAGGAAATAATATAAAGATGCAATAAAATCAGGATGCAGATTATAGTGGGTATATAGCTCATAATGTACGCAGCTGAACAAATAAAGGGGCAAAAATGAAATCCTGTTTTAACTTTGACATCTGAGGCCTCACCAGCATATGCAGACTTAGGCAGTACAATCAACTGTTGCACTTCAGACTACAGGCAGAGATACATGTAACCCCCCCCCTTTTTTTTTGCAAGCAGTAAATAAAGATCAGTATATCAGGAACAAGTATCAAAGCCCTCTTGTGCCAATTGTTTATGAGCAGTGTGCTGTTTGGAGTCACACAGAAAGCACACGAAATGTGACACCGCCACTGCATTGACTCTGACCGAGCTGTTATTTTGCCAAACCCAACTGCGGAAAGAGCCAAAAGATGAGGAATTTACAAGGAACAACATCACCACAATCACACTGGAGAAAAAGAGGGAATTAAATTTTGGGCTCCTCTCTGCAGTAGAAGTCATAGAGATATAAGTGACCAAGTGACATAAATGCATATTTGACTATGCTCTATAACACTCCAACAGATGGCTTGGGAAAGGAATACCCCCTTTTCTTCTAAGGAGAGCTGGGGGGGGCGGGACAGAAGGGGGTTTGCCCATGCTCTCAAAATAGAGATGTTTTTGAAATATTGCTTTCTTGCTCCAACCCCTCCTTCCCCTTTTAATAAACTTTGCGTGACTACGCTGTTTATCTTACTCATGCTCACAATTTTCACACTCAATCATTCTTTTTAGAGTGGTGGTGGGAAATCTCTAATAGAACTATTCTGTGATACATGGCTTTGGCATTTAATATAGTTGAGGGTTTTTTATTAAATATGTATATAATAATAATTTATAAGGTCACACATCACACTGGCATCTGGGTGACCTTATAAAAATCTAAGCAGGAGGTAAATAAAGACTAAAGATACGTGTAGGGGATAAAATGTCAGATGTCATATTTCCCATCCCCCAATGTACATTTGTTAAACCTAAAGTACAAGTTAAATATATATATGGCATTATGGGTAGGGGGGAAATCCCATAAACAATCATTGTGGTTACCCTTTTTATGTGAACATTTTATTCTGTATTGTAAAAATAATTTCATACGATAATTTCTGGCCTATCTGTGAATCTTTCTGAGCTCGGATATATTCAGCTGCATTGTTGTGGTTTTGCTATTTTATTGGCTTTCACTGATTATTACTTTTGTACTCATTACATTATAAACCACTTTGTAAAGAGCAATGCAACTTCTGTGAATAAATAAAGCAAGAAACTCGTGCACAGGACTGGGCTAGACAGCACTTAAATCCACACGTGCCAACAGTACTTTCCAGCTGCACATTTTCAAAATGATCTAGCCTGATTTCTCCTTTAAAAATTATGCTGTTCGTTCACATTTTTCCTAGATGCTTACACATTTGAATTTATTATTTATTGAATGCTCCAGGGCCTACAAGCTATATGTTCAGTAAAGCCCAGAGTGATATGGAAGCCCAGAACTAACATTCCCTGAAAAATACCATCTGGCCCATGTCACTGGGCATGTTGTTCACCCAACATGTGATAACAGCTTCTTTTTTCTTTGTGATAGTTATGACTGTTCTCTTTTGATGCTCCCTCAGCAGTGCAGCCTTATAAAACTAAGCATTTGCTTGAATCTCTGCAAATGCCTTTTCTCCTGAGTTGAGCAAAGATCTTAGAGTGCCCTTTGTCATTATTTGACCCGAACAAATATAGTGGTACCTCCACTGGCGGAGGAACAGGAGTGCAGAGGGAGCAGACCGCCCCCAGCACCACTATTCCAGTAGGATGCCATTGCGGCGCCCCCTCCCTGGACATGCGCCGTGCCCCCCCAAGCGCCAGGTGCCACACGCCCCCGGGGTGCACGCTACGCCTCCACCTGCTCTCCGCCCCCAGTAGCGGAGCATACAGCTTCGCCACTGCTTGGCTCCCTAACAAATCGACTCCCAAACGCTGCAAACCCAGAAGTAAGTGTTCCGGTTTGTGAATGTTTTTCAGAAGCCGAACGTCCAACGTGGCTTCCACTTGAGTGCAGGAAGCTTCAACAGCCAATTGAAAGCCGCACCTTGGTTTTCAAACAGTTTCGGGAGTCGAATGGACTCCCGGAACGAATTAAGTTTGAAAACCAAGGTACCACTGTATGTAATGCACACAGACACACACACCCCGGATCTCCTACCGATGACAACTTCTTTTATACCCTTGCTTGTGCTGTCCACTTACTACTGTGTTTTGCTTTCCTTTCCATTTCTCCCCATCTTGGGAGACTGGCAACAATCACAAATTCTAAGGGCACTATTACCAGCCAGCAAATAGTGCAGCAACATATTTATTCTCCAAAATAAAATGCATTCTGACAGAGTTTTAGGACATTTGGAGTTACCAAGAGTGAATTCACAGCAATCAGCTCATCACTAAAACATTTATATTGCTACACATTCATGGACAGCTGCAACTTCATAGCTAAAGCGATGCTGCAGAGAGTATAGCCATCTGGATTTCACAGTGGCAGAGAGACTAAACAAGAAGTCCTACACTTCCAAACATCTGATCAACAGGGGACACTTATGAATAATTTCCATTAGCTGCACAGCACAAGCTTTTGTTGCTCAAGATTCCTTACAGTATCAGCAATGATGGGCATACTTCTTTGACAGAACCATTTAGTACTGTAAGCAATGATTCATTACAGAACTCAGTGTATGGGCAAGCCTATTTATTGTGAACAGCAGGCAAAAGTTTATTGACTTCAGTGATTTAAAAACTGCAAACAGGATCTTGAACTACTTTAGCTTGCAGGGAATGGGGAGGGAGAGGGAAAATCACCCAACACTTTCCATATAAAGTAAAATAGAAACATTTTAGCATCTCATTTCAGTTTATTAGTATGAATGAATGGTGGTTGTTTTGGAAATTCTTACTTGAATGTAGCCAACAATATGCACACGTAGCATAAACTAATATGTGAAACTCAAAATCCTGCACGCACTGAAATTTGGAATAGATTTAGAAGTGCCAGGAATGAAGCAGAATAAGTCTCTTTTGTGGAGCAAGAAAAGTTCCAAGAAACTAGAGGGCAGGTTTTGTCAAAGTACTAATCTATGCTGGAGTTTATATTTTCCCATCTTTGTGTTAGAGTCCAGCAATGAATTTCAGTAAATGGAGAGACCCTCTCTTAAGCACTGTTTTACTCTTCAGAAGTGGTGGTCAATGCAATTCTTCACAAAAAAATACAATTATTATTTTAATTTTATTTATTAAATTTCTATACCGCCCTTCATCTGAGGATCACAGGGTGATTTATAATATAAACATACATAACCACATAGCAAGGCAACAAACCAAAAGAACACCCACCACACACACACACCCCGTTTAAAAGCCCATAGATTGTTTAATTAGCCAAAGGCCTGGGAGAAGTGGAATGTTTTTGCCTGGAATCTAAAGATAAGTAACAAGGCACCAGGTTTGGAGCTATGGTTTGTGCTGGATGGCTTATGCCTGGACCTTGTGTTTGCTCCTGGAAGTCCTGGTGGATGTCCTGGAGATGTTTATCAGCTCCTTTCCCCAGTCTTGCAGATTTGATCATTGTCACTTATGCTCTGGTCACATCCAGATTGGACTACTGTATGTGGGTCTACATTTGAAGATTGTTTGGAGTCTTCAGATCCTGCAAAAAGCAGCAATCCAAGTGGTTCCTGGTATATCACTTTTTTTCATTTGTGCTGGCTTCCAGTTTATTTCTGGGCACAATTCAGAGTGAACTTGCCCAGGCAATGCATCTGAAGTAATGTTCTGTGTTCCACTACATTCAGAAACGTGCTTGGCAGAGACACAAGAGCAGTCCTTCTTGGTCGCAGCACCAAGATTGCAGAATTTACTCCTAAAAGAGGTTCAATTCCCCTCTCTCAAGGTGGATGACTTTTTTAATTCACCTGTGTTTCAGTAATCAAGTGAAGCATTTATTTTTAATCTCATTGTTCTTATTCTTATATTGTGATTTTAATCTGAAAGCCACTTTAAGGGCTAGAGAGCAGAGTAGAAATTGCCTATATTTCTCCATGGTTATGCCCCAATTATGGGACTCCCCGTTTGGCAACATGCATTCTCCCCACATACATACACACTATACATTTAAAGCATTCCCTACCAAGAATCCTGGAAACTGTATTTTGTTAAGGGTTCTTCTCTGTGAGGCATAAACCACAGCTCCGCAGGGCTGGGAGAGATGTGATTTAAATGTATGATGTGTACATAGTCTCAGTCTAAATCTAAAGACATTCCTGTTCATCCAGGTATTTGGTGCTCAGATGTGATGGGTTTGGGCATCTTAGAACTTACTTGCTGTGCTTAGATGTATTTTCAAAAGTTTTAAAATGTTCAATGTTTTTAACTGTGTATGGCTGCTCTGTTCGCCTTTGAGAGGAAAGGCAGGATAGAAATTTAATAATAAATAAAACATTGCTCCCTTCTTGTTAACCTATCCTCAATTTTCCAGTTTCTTTGACTTAGGCAGATATCAGAATGGATAAATCAGTGGCCCTTACATATCATCTTACATATAGTTTGCATTTGAGGAAATGAAACATTAAAAAAACACACAAGCTAGGTGACTAGAAATAGAAAATTCTGCACACAAACACTGTGAAAGCGTCCCTAATGTTATCAGGACTGGATTGGGAGGCAGCAAAACTGTTGCCTTTATATAAAACAGATCTAGCCATGCATGCAACTACACAGCTAAGCTAAATCACATTTATTGATTAGAAGAGAATGTGTGTCGCCTCTTGTATCAGAAGGCTATGCAGATATCCTCCATAGTGAAATCTGTCCAAGCAGACTGAATAATCTAGGTTTAATATTTTAAACCACACACAAAAAGGCGTGTGTGTATGTGAAGTCAAGCAAAATAACTGCAGCCACAGGAACTGGGGAGTGGGGCTGGAGCTTCTTAAAATAACTTTTTATTTAGCTATTTTAAGGAGGATTCAGTCAGCAAATTTTAATTCTCTGAAATGTGAACATCTCACCCTAGTTCCAGATCTCCAACAATTGACGGCATTAGACCCCAATTCCATTATGCATGATGAGTATTTGAAGTAAGAAATTACTAATCAAGCCACTCCAGATTTACAGTCATTAACCACTGACCTTGAGTGCAATGCTATTAAGTCTGCGCCTTTGGAATTCACCCCCGTTTCATCACCTAGATATAATAGAATTTCTTCTGTATTAATAATTCACCTTAGCTTGACTGATTTTGGCAGCCAAACCCTTCTGAAAATTTCAGCTTTGAGTTTCCTACCCTGCTTTCTGGAGAAATACCATATAAGCAACACCTGGATTTAGGACTTGTAAGCTCTAGCACACATTATGGTAACTGCAGCACTGTTGAAAGTTACCGTTTTGTTTTGTTTTCTGACTAAGGGCTGAGTAATGACCTAGATTTAAATCCCAGCGTATTCCACTGATCAACCTTCTTTTTCCTTCCAGACAAATTATCCCAGCTCCGTCTCAGGTGTAAGACCCCCACGCAAATGAGAAGCACCGGATTGATTCTGCTGCTGCTGCATTGGTAATTTCACCCCCCCCCCCCAAGTCAGCTTTCATTTCATAGGAGAAAACCATTATGGCATGTTTGAAACAACTTCTAGGTATCTGTGATGCTTACACAGTAAGCAAAATGTAAGGAGACTGCCTGGTTAAGTGCATTTCCAAACAAACAAAGACGAGAAAACTACATTTTTAAATTTTATTTTTGGCACATTGCTTGGGTCTCAAAGACAGAGGTTAAACCTAGTTTTGGACTGCACTACTTCAGGTTGTGTGTGAGGGACTCACTTGTCTAAATGGTCTTAAATACCATAAAACAATCCCCTGCATATAGGGTTGCCTTCTTTCTGACATGCTAGTTATGTTTGTTGCTGAGGGTGGAGATGATTTGTAAATGGACAAACATACATGCAAGCATCTAAATATAGTGTAAAAGTAGTACAGTGGTACCTTGGGTTACATACGCTTCAGGTTACATACACTTTGCTTCAGGATGAAAACAGAAATCGCGCGGCGGCGTGGCAGCAGCAGAAGGCCCCAATAGCTAAAGTGGTGCTTCAGGTTAAGAACAGTTTCAGGTTAAGAACGGACCTCTGGAATGAATTAAGTACGTAACCAGAGGTACCACTGTATATTCCTCCGGAAATGGTTTTATAAATTATCTGCTTTGCTGTATATGTAAGAAGCAAGTCTCACGGAAAAGCTAAAGCATAATAATCAGCATTTTCTCAAAGTCTTAGGGATCCTATGTCCCTGAATTTCAGTTGGATTGGATTGGATATAGCCAATCCAACAATTCTAGATAGCCCAGTTATCCATTTCATTGCACTCTCTCTCTCTCTCTCAACATCACTACAGTATGCCACCCCATTGATTCATCTCACATACGATAAGAGACCTAAGCCTCTTGCATGACACCTAGTATGGACTCTCAGGAGATGATCCTCTATATCAGACATGAATGAACAGAAACAATGACAATACATAAAGTACACAAGTGTTAAAACCAGTGTTCTGTCTCTCTCCCTCTCTTCTGCAAGCCAAATTTCTTTGAATACTACATTATAACAAACTGTAAACTAACAGGTGGTTACAGGCTAATCCTATCATCTTGACGGGCTTTTGTGGCACAGAGGCTTGTGTGCTATAGCAGTTACAACAACAATGGATATGGGGAAAGTGGGGCAGAACTCTTTGAAATATGTACATTTTTCTAAAGAACAATAAATAGTTGATCCAGGAACTGTTGGCACTAGACTAGGCACTAGGACCCAGAAATTAACGCAGCCCCTGAACTATACAGTACTGAATGCAGCAAGCATCTGTCCTTATGGTAAGTGTGATCCATCCAGCCAAGGAATAATGCTCGTAATAAGTCCCATTGATTTCAGTGGTGGAATTAAACACATGCTTAAGTCTCTCCCACCAAAATTAATGGGTTTTTTAAAAAGTGATTGACTCTGGCTACATAGATGTTATAAAGGTAATTTTTATGGACTGATTTTAAAATGCAAAAGCAACTACACAAGGGATGTAAAATGCCTTAGCAGTGAAGACTGGGTATTTTTATTTTTTTTTAAATGAACTACTAACCACTCTGATACTTTCCGCATTTTTGTAGGGGTGCCCTGAGACTGGGGTGGACTAGGGAAGGACGGCTGGTAGAGTAAACTGGATATATGATTGTTACATTGTTATATTGCCAAAAAAATCAATTACAATTACAATTTTTAAAATGAGCTGAGAAAACTATAAGGGGTGTTAGAAATCAAGACTGGAAGTCAAACGATGAAGCCCTTCCATCCTCATGCTTCAAATGTCTGGACCTTAATCTGTCAGAAACAGGGGCACAGTACCACATAATTGTTCTCTATAGCGTCAGGTAATGGCCAGTATTGGAAAAGGGCTGCTTAAGATTCGGTACAGCTGTTTTGCAGCTACTTAGGCTTTCCTAGAAACTTATTCCTTTCGTCTTGTGAAATACACAGGCTCTCCTGAAGATCTGAAGACATAATTATGATGTTAAAAAGTTCTTTTAACCCCCAGCACAAGTTACAGCCAACAAGCAATGCCTATTTATAACATTTGTATTCCACCCAACCCAAGGATCTCAGAGGAGTGTATCTGGGGTCACTCCATTTCAACCAGCACTCTATTAGACAGGCGAAAATAAGATTTTGGTTCTACCAGGCCAACTATTTACCCTGCTTAGAAAACAAAGGTATTGGTCACATCTTGAAAGTAATACGAAGGAGGCATTTTCACCCGATTGTAGATTATTATTACGCCCAAAATATATCACAAGCACACTTCTATAGAGATCATTCAAAGCACATTTTTCACCTCTTAATTATCACTTAGGTTAAAGGCTTGTGAAGAAATATGCTAGCACATTAAATGTCCTTCTGAGGCTGGATTGCCTGACTTGCCTCTGGCTTCTAATAACCTGAACTGTTGCAAGGACTAAGATGGAAATACACTGATTAACAGCATGCAGTTCTGTAGAATACCTTGGGACCTTAACATTTCACTCGTCAGTTGGGATTCTTGTTATTCCTAATCACACCATCTACCTGTCCCTTCAGGCTTCATAGTAATGTCATGATAAGATATCTCTTCCCTCTTTCTTTTTGTATTTCAGTTGCTATGTACCTCAAAGAGATTAGCCATCTTTTACTTATGACCTCATAGGACGCATCTATATATTATCTTTTTGCTTAAAAGTTCAGATGCTATTTCTGGCATCCAGGCAGAAGGACTGCTAAGCACTATGCCCTTTACTTTGAGCAGGGTACATTCAGAACACCAGATGTGGTGTTCTCTCTGATCTAGGAAAATAGGAAGTTAATCAACAACTCTGATACAGGCTAGAAAAGGATTCATCTCTATTTCAGCACATCTCTGCTCTTCCTCTGTTCTCTTCCTCTTCCTTTTCAGACTTCCTCTTAGGCCTGATGAACAGAAACATGTTTCTGATTGGGTTCCCTCCCTCCCTCCAGCTTTCATTGACTCATTCAGCTGAGCTGGGATGAATTTACATGAGCAGAACTAATCCAGCAAAAGAATATTAGAGGAAGTTCAGATATTTAGGAGAGAAAAATGTGATCAGTCCTGCTAGGACTGTGTCCATTCAGAAAGTGACTGAATGTTCTACCCAGGTTGAAGATTTGTTGTGCCTGAGATGCTAGCGCATTATGTTCTAACCTGGCCTTCTCCATATTCTGCTAGATTTTCCAGCTTCCTTCAACATTAATTGGAAATGCCCTAGAGTTGTAATGTACAACTACACATTAAGTTCAACCAAGGGAGGATTTTCCATCCAGTTCCTGGTCTCTCAATCAGTTTAGGTAAGCCAATATACCACAAATAGAGACCAGGTGTGCCAGACAAGACAAAGCAAATAGATGGCTCTCTCACACATAAGTCACACACCACCCCAAAAGTCAATTGTTATGAAAAATTATCAAGCACATTGATAATTACAAATTACAGTTAGGGATTCCTATTTGAGCCAAAGGCTTAACCAAACATCTCTATATATGTCTAGCCAGAAGCATGTCCCATTGTTGTGATCAAATCAGTCCCTGGTGAAGTTTTGACTTTTGTATTTCTGCATCTTCTTGTATTCTTAAATTTTTAATTGCAATTATTTTCACATGCTCTTGATTTTATTTTATAAGCCTTTCACAGAAATTTGTAAGGGGGAGTCTTGTGTATAAGCCCATAATCAAACTTTCTTTGTTTATGCAGAGGGAGGAAAAAGAATTTGTGATAACAAAAATGAAAAGCCAAAAAAATACAAAAGGAAAGGAAAATCTCACATACTATTTTCATTTTGTAGAGCCACAATTAGAGAGGGATCACTGAATGAGAAGTTTCAAGGATGATAAAATATGTAGAGGAGCAACCATAAAAAGAAGTTGAAGATTGTGGCAATAAACTGACTACAAAGGTTGTAGGAATGCTCCAGGCATGCCATATATATTGCCTTAGGGAAGGAGACAGGGCTAGTTGGCTCTCTTCAGCTCTAGCAAAAATCTAGTGTCAGGAAACAAGCATATTTTCTTAGCTCTAGCAGGTGACAAGACGCTAATATTTAAGTAAAATACACAGGCTTCCTACATACACACAGTATAATTTTTCTCACATACTACATTAAAGGAAATGGTTAGAAGTGATGCCCTAATGGTTGAAAGACTATAAATGACAATTTTTAAGGGTTTGCCAGAATGTGTGTACATTAAAAGTGGTAAAGCAGCGGGCCCTGCACCAAAACCCCTGGCATAGAAGTTCCATGTCAGAACTCCCACTGAGTAACGTGGATCACGTAGCTCCCCATGGTACTCCAGTGACCTGCATGCAATGAAACAGGGGGCTGGCAGCTAGAACACAGGTGGTGTAAATCTGAATTATTTATACCACATGGGTGGGAACTCATGTTTCTTGTCTGGCTGTATTAAATCTAGACACTGCTTTGGAGATGTGTGGAGGATGACATGGAAGAAATATGGAGACATGCTTTTTTCATCTGCAGGTAGTAAGTGTGTTCAGATATATATATATATCTCCACATTTTCTCCAATGAGCTCTAGGGGCTTTACATGACCCTCATTTTCTCCCCACAAGGAGCTTGTGAAGTAGGTTAAGCTGAGAGAGACTGGTCCATGAAGAGAGCTTCATGATGGAGTCGGGTTTTGAAGCCTGATCACCCCAGTCTGAGCCCAACTGCCAACCCACTGCATCACATTGTCTTTCTTTTAAACTTGTGCAGATTTGAAAGTTCTTATTCTTCAACCTAATTAATTCCTTAAACAACCAAACAATCAAACAAACAAGCACAAGCCAGGTTGCAAAACAAATCAAGCTAGTCAACTTTAAAACCTAACAGATGGGAAACAAATGCCAAAGAAAACATGTCGTACTGGAGAATTTAGAGAGAGACTGCTAATCTTGAAAATAAAAGACAAATTAATTTAAGTACAAATTAACCATTTCTTTTGAATCATGCCAAGACAGAAAAATGCACTTGTATACTGGCGGTGTTAAAATTAACGCATTCTAAATCTCACCCTATTATACATTATTATTTACTGATAAGAACCAGCAGAACACTGTCCCACCCAGTAAGTATAACAATGTCTTACATTGTG